ATTATTTTATTTTTGAATTTTTTGGGAGTATTTCTCATATAGGGCAAAAATCACGTGCTTACATGTAGCATCAGCACAACCGACCCCATGTGCTGGTAAATGTCTGGCCTAACCCCGGCAAGGCAGTGACAGAGTCTAGGACCAGACTCCAGATAAACATGTGCAGTTATATATATATGTACGATAAAAAGATAAATGGAAACAAACAAATAAAGTTGGGAAGGGGAAACATGCTTCGGGGATAACAGATAAAACAGAATCTCAAGAGAATTATAAGGAAACCAAAAATTTAACTTCTAACAAGGATAAGGAAAATAGAGGCAGATTTCACTTTCAGTTTACATCTCATTGCAGGCGTGCAACCCGATCTCATTTCTCATATCTTGTAGTAGACGTACCACCCGCTCCCATTTCATTAAATCTTGTGGTAGGCGTACCATCCGTTCAAATTTCATAATATCTTGTGGTAGGCGTACCACCTGCTCCCATTTCATCATATCTTATGGTAAGCGTACCACCCGCTCCCATTTCATCATATCTCGTGGTAGGCGTACCACCCGCTCCCATTTCATCATATCTTGTGGTAGGCGTACCACCCCCTCCCATTTCATCATATCTTGTGGTAGGCGTACCACCCGCTCCCATTTACAAGCCAGCACAAAATCACAAGGAATCCTGGCAAGGGAACAAAAGCAATATAATAACTTATCGGCAAGGGAACAATAATATCAAAATAAACATCCCGGCAAGGGGGAATCAACTATAACTAATCTTAACTCAACTCCTACTCAGTTCAATTAATACCAATACTCAGTCATAAATAAAATCCACGAAAATAAGCTAAATCCTTGCTCAATATTTAGAATCATCAATTAAAGGATTCGTAGTATCATTTAAGAACACAACAATTATCAATTTAAGACTCATGATCATACTCGACACCAACGTATAAATACTCGTCACCATGCCTATACATCGTACTCAACAAGAAGCAATTAGAAAATAGGACACAACTCCTAATCCTTCAAGCTAAGGTTAGACCGGACACTTACCTTAAACTTTCACGGCCAACTCAATCCTCAATTACTGCCTTTCCTCTCGAATTCGGCTCTAAATAAATTATATCTATGCATAATCGACTTCATAACATTAATAAATGCTAAACAATCCAATTCCAATGTCTAATTATAGCTTTCTAATCATTCTTCCAAAAATCCTAAAATCGACCCCGGGCCCGCTTGGTCAAAATATGAGGTTCGAACCAAAATCCGATCACCCATTCGCCCACGAGCCCAAATATATGATTTATTTTCAAATCTGACCCCAAAACGAGGTCTAAATCATAAATAATCATTAAGCCCTAATTCTACCCAAATCCCTAATTTCCTACCCTTAATCACATGTTTTAGGCCTAGAAATCTAGTGGGCGTTGATAAAAATGGAAGAAAGCAAGTTAATTTTGCACACAAGTCATATTTGTCATTACGGACCTACTCCAACATTCGGAATCGGATTCCGATCCCGATATCAAAAAGTCCACTTCCGGTCAAACTTCTCAAAAACATTCAAATTTTTATCTTTAGCCAAATGACTTTAAAATGACCTACGGGCCTCCGAATTCACTTCCGATCGCGCTCCCAACTCCAAAATCACCATACGGAGCTATTCCCAGACTCAGAATCCCAAACGGATATCGATAACACTGAAATTCACTACAACCCAAACTTATGAAATTTCTTCCAAAATGCTAACTTCCACAATAGGCGCCAAAATGCTCCCGGTTCATCCAAAACCCGATCTGGGCATACGCCCAGGTCCGAAATCATCATACAAACCTGCTGAACCTTCGAATCCCGATTCTGATGTCGTTTACTCAAAAATCCAATCCTAGTTAGTTCTTTCAACTTTAAAGCTTCCTAAATGAGAATTGTTTTTCCAAATCAACTCCGGACTTCCGAAAATTCAATTCCGACCACGCGTACAAGTCATAATACCTGAAATAAAGCTGCTCATGGCCTCAAACTGCTGAACGGCGCACTAAAACTCAAAATGACCGATCGGGTTGTTACATTTGGCCTGTTGTACTTTATGCTGCCTACTTACTCATTTTTGGAGAAAAACATAGACCCCACTTTAGTGACCTTTTCACGTGTCACTCAAGTTGCAGTCTTGTTAACAAGGCATTACCTTTTTACTTCTATTTTGTTCTTTTTAGTTTTCTCCATTGTTTTCTTTTTAGTTTTCTCTATGATAGCCTATTAATAGCATGTTTGACAAAGCTAGAAAAATTAGCTTATTTTGAAAAATATTTTTTTCTAAAAGTATTTTTTTCAAAAGTATTTCTAGTTACTACTATTTAGAAGCGGGAGTTGGGGCTCTTCGTCGTCCTGCTTCCTGATTTACAATTAGGTCCCTACTTTTGATCCAAAAGCAGGGGTATTTTTGTCACTCTGCTCACTTTGTACTTTTTGCAGCGCCTTTTCCCTTCGCACTCTCTTCAATACGCGCTTTCTCATCCTCTATCGACGTGGAAGATGAATCGATTCTTGCTTCTGCTGCTGTCAGCTGTTCTTCCAGATGGGTAACACCTGCTCTTGGATGGATATCCGATTAGGGGTGACTGCCAATAAAATCTGTAATACCTTATGTTCTGTTTGGGTTTTCTTTTCCTTTTTTTGGTTCTTGGCTTACTACTCTGTTCCTTTTGGTATCTCTGCTTGCTAGGTGAAACAAGTCAGTACTTCTTGCTTCCTTCTCTATCTCCTCCTTTAGATTTCTGTGTACTGCAGTATGTTACTCAAAAGTTATTAGCTGTGACGTTCATCTCTTGTAGCCTTTTTTCCCTATGACCATGTTCAGAGAAAGGAGCTGTAATTTATTCTTTAATCAATAAACTTGTGGAGATTTCTATTCACTTAAAGCTAGGCACACAGCTGCTCGTTCTGCTGCTTCTCGCGTTATCTACCTCTCTTGTATGACGCTTTAGTACTTTGTACTTGAAAAAGATAACAATATTCATACTAAGATACTTATTCAAGTTGTTGTCACTGTGATGTATACCCTTTTAAGATTAAAACAAAAGGCCCATCAATTAGACCATAAATAATTGTTGGAAAATCTGGGAATAATGTTTAAAAGAATATTTTAGTAAATTCTTATTTACCATATCACTGGTAGCTTGTCTCCCCACCCTCCTTGTTTTCTCGTTGGTTAAATTGTAGTCTAGGATGAGTGACCAGCTTTTTTGTTGGCCTGTGGAAGGGATATAAAGATGGATGTTGGGTATGCTTTGTAAGTCTACTCATGCCTGTGCAAATTTCCAAGGCGTTGTTGTTGTGTTAGTATAATTAGGCTATAATATATGAACTGATATGGAAATATGTAACAAAACTTTGTAACTTGCATCTTTCTTTTCATGTTAAATTTACTTGAATAAGTTTTAGAAACGTAGAGATAAGTGGTTGGCATCAAACATGCCATAAAATTTACAGATGGATGCAGATAAATGAGTTGTTAAAATTTTGTAATTTTCCCTTCAGAACATTTGGTGATCGATTTTTGCTTGGAACAATGATTTAATTCAGTTATTTTTCCTTATCAGCAACCAAGGTACAGTACCAAAATCTTGCTGGAAAAATCATATTATTTTACCATGATACTTTTACCTGGGTGTTGTATTATATGATGTGTTAGAAGAAAATGAAAAATAACTTATCTCCAATTGAATGGCTCCAAGATTCCAAGCATGTTCCTAGAGAAAGTCTGATGTCGACCTGTTAAATTTGGATCTACTGAATAAACAACGAAAATTTAGCCTTTGTGATCTACATTACGAGGATACTAGGTGGGGGTATGTAACTACATTTGGTTTTTTTGCATCATTGTATCTTGGAAGAGTCATACGAAGTACTGATAGCCCTTTTAACGTAGAGCGGGAAAGAATTTAAAGTAAATTAGTGCATTATGAGTTCTCCAACTGTAAGAAGAAAGCACTGTATTTTGAGAGAATGAATATAACATCAACTGAGATAATGAATTTAGGAAAAATTATTTATTTTGTCAGACAAGTCAGCCTATTTTATGTGTCCGTTAATGTGCCAGAATGATATTTTCAGTGATTATTATCTATTAGAACACAAACAAGTAAGGGAGAGAAAGGGGAAACAACTTGCTTCCACCTACGTAGATGAATTGAACCATAATTATCTTTTAATGTTTGCTTCGATAATACACTGCTGCCAAAGTCTGTAAGAAATTGTCTTTTTTAGAATCTTGAAAGGTTCTTCGATGAAAATTGGTGAATTATATGTTACTTTGATCGGTCAATCATTCCACATCATAAACTAATGGAATAACCCAGTAGCACACACCAACAACCTTTTTTCTTCGTTGTACCATTACATTTGAGACAGTAACGTTACAATTTCCGTACAGAATTATTTTAAGAGTATTTTCGATGCCCAACATATTCTGTATGTTGACCATGACAGAAATTGTTTTTTATTTTTGTAGAATTGTTGACGTTTCTCTTACGTTCAGTATAACCAACACACTTGTAGAAGAAGTTCAGCACCTAAGGTAACCAAGTATCTTCTTTTAGTAGTTGTTGTTGTCCACCATTTTCTTTTGTACAATTATTTTGTTTATTTTTTGTTTGTTAACTGATTTATGTGCGTAACAAAAAGTTTGGCTTGACATATTCGCTTTTTCATTTATGGTGTGGTCTCACGGTGTCCATTTTCTTTTATTTCACTTCGGGTCATGTTTTGATTAGATTTTCCCGCTTAGTTAGCAAAGCTTTACCTTTGGAAAAGTACCTTTGAGAGGATGTTATAATACGAAGAAAAAAAACCAAAAAATTATCGTAATTGTTCTCCCTATAGGTACAAAAATTGATCAGAAAGCTCAGAGGTATTCAGCTGATTCCAATGTCACTTATGAAAAAACTAATAGTCAAAGCATACCTTTTTTTTAAAACATACAATGACATTATGAATCGCCTCCCATATTTTATTCCTTGGGGTAACTATATCTGCTCAAAGATAGCCTCAATTTTGTCACTTCCTTGTGATATGCATGTCGGTGATAAAAATTAATACAATGTTAAAAGGCTATGACAGTTTGCACAGTATCATTTAAGAGTAGGTACTACGGTTTTGATGGATCATACACAAAAAAACAAACGCCCCCTATCAGAAACGGATAGGAATGACAACCGACGTGAAAAATATAAAGCCATGTCAGCAGAGAAAAAACAGAAGTTGTTGCTACAACGCCGACTTATATACCAAGAGTCAAAGACACGCACACCTCCTGAGAAAATAACTGTGGATCGCTTGACTGGAATAATGGATCCACATGAATGCTCTACGAACACTTCTTACATTCTGCATCCAGGTTAGAACATACGATTCTCCGTACATAATCGCTTTGACCTTGTCTCGCAGCGTTATCTCTCATTTTAAATAGTTAACTTCCTCTACGTTTTCTCTTCGATGTAGCTTTTAATACGTGTAACAATCATCCTCTGCCTTCTGCTATGGGTAACGAAATACATGTATTGCGTTCACTTTCTACCTATGAAAAGGGTGAGTATGCCGCCTTCTACGCTTACTTTTACACTACTTGCCACCATTTTATGCCATCTAAGGACCACCCAACTTGGTCTTAGGTTCAACTTCAGCAGTACCCGGGGAACTACGTAACAAAGACTCCGAAGTAGTTACGACTAGAGGTTCGTTTGGTTTTCTGTCTGCTGAAACACTAATTGTTTCCTCTGGTTCACCTTAATTTTAATGGTCTATTTCCAACATATAGGTCGTACACCCACTACAAAGTCTTGTCCAATTATCGGTCAGTTGCGTTCAAACTATGTTCCACTGAAGAAAGTTCCAATCTGCAAATTTTGCTCAGCAAAGAGATTTCAGTATGAACCGCCTACATTTTGCTGTGGCAGTGGGACAATAAAGTTAACTTCTCATCAAATGCCTACCAAACTGCGCAATTTATTTCTTGGAAACAGTGTGGAGTTCAAACACTTCCGAACATACATTAGAACGTATAATAATCTTTTTGCGTTCACATCACTTGGTGTAAAGTATGACAAAGATTTAGCAAAAAGAAATTCTGGTATCTACACCTTCAGAGTTCAAGGGAAGATGTACCATTGGATAAATAATTTGCACCCTACAGATGACAAACCAAGAAATATACAGCTATACTTTTATGATAACTGCAATGAGCTGGCACATAGGATGGCATGTTCCGCCAGAATCCACGAATCAGTAGTGAAAGAATTGATGGATATATTATCAATAAATCCATACTCTGTGTTTTTGCGGTCCTTGGTACATATACCAAACTTTCAAGATTTCCACATAGCTCTCAAATGCGACTTAAATTTGGACTAGAGAGTATATAATTTGCCGACTTCGTATGAAATTGCAGCAATATGGACCGAGGAAAAAGATAACGCATCCTTTAACGCACCACATATTCAAATTTACCCTCGCACTGATCGAACACAAATAGTGAATTACTATTATGGTTGTTATGATGCATTGCAATATCCGCTATTATTTCCGCTAGGGAAAAGTGGATGGCATTGTGGTATTAAGAAGCTCCCAGCAAATTGTCCTGCGTACTTACGAATTGTGCATCTCGAAGAGGTCCCAAGTATAAGAAATGTTATGTCACTTGACGAATATCTTGAAATGGAAGCTGAACTTCTTAAAAAAGGGCAGCGACGAAGAGATACAGTTTCTGTTCGTGAGTATTATTGTTACAAATTACAAATGAGAAATGACGATGAATATGAAATATTGCATACCGGAAGAATATTTCAGCAGTATTCAGTTGATGAATACATTAAACTCAAAACTCAAAGGTTGGATTTCGCAGCGTTCAATCAAGATTTATTCAGGATGGCTATGCTACAAGGACTTCTTGACATCTTGCGATTAGGTGAACGCGATTCTTCTAATATCGGGAAACAAAATTTTCTTCCAAACTTTTTTATTGGAGGTCCGCGGGATATGCGACAACGGTACATGGATGCTATTGCGCTCGTGCAACATTTCGGTAAACCTGATTTATTTATAACTATGACATGTAATCCCTCTTGGATGGAAATAAAGGAACATTTAATCTCAACTGATAAGGCACATAATAGGCCTGATTTGATCAGCCGTGTATTTAGAGCGAAAATAGAAGAATTCAAAAATGATATACTATCGCGAAATATCTTTGGAAAGGTAGCAGCTTTTATGTATACTGTAGAGTTCCAAAAGAGAGGTTTACCACACGCTCATTTTCTTATAATATTAACTAATGAATACAAGTTACTTACCCCAGAGGCTTACGATAATATTATTCGTACTGAAATACCTGATGAAAATGCAGAACCAGATTTTATATTCGCTTTTTCTTAAACACATGATGCATGATCCATGCGGTAATCTAAACCCAACAAACTCTTGTATGAAGAAAAAAGGCTACTGTAAATTCAAATATCCAAAAAGCTTTGCGGACCGGACATCAAAAGGAGTAGAATCTTACCTAATTTATAGAAGACGCAATACAGGACTAGTGGTAAAAATAAGAGAACAATACTTGGATAACTCATGGGTTGTTCCATATAATCTTTTTTTGTTGGGAAAATTTGACTGCCATGTGAATGTCGAGATATGCTATGATATTAAGGTCGTTAAGTATCTCTATAAGTATATATGTAAAGGTCATGACAAGATTGTATTTTTAGTACATAATAATGATACAAACACAGAAGTAGATGAAATAAAGGAATACCAGTCTGCTAGATGGGTGTCGCCTCCCGAAGCTATGTGGCACTTGTACGGTTTCTCCATTAGTGAAATGTCATGGACTGTATGCTCTCTTCAACTTCATCTTAAAGGACAACAATTTGTTTCATTCAGAAGCAGCGCAAATGTAGATACACTTGTAAATAATCTGTTGATTAACTAGACGATGTTAACACAATTTTTCGAAATGAATAGAACAAATGCAGAGGCTATGAAGCTCAATCTATTATACCGGGAATTCCCTCAACATTTTGTTTGGTCTGCAACAGAGAGGAAGTGGACACCTCGGAAACAACGATATGCTATTGGTCGTGTTGTAACATGTCATCCAACAGAAGGTAAACGATATTATCTTAGAATGCTATTAATGACTATTAGAGGACCAAAATCATATAATGATTTTCTAACTGTTAATGGAGAACGTTGTAGAACCTTTAGAGAATCAGTGGAAAAACGAGGATTGCTACAAAGCGACAATAGTTTGCTTGAATGCATGTCAGAAGCAACAAGTTACCAAATGCCATACAGTTTGCGACGTTTATTTGCTACATTACTGATTTATTGTAATCCTACTAATCCAAGACAACTCTGGGAACAATTTGAAGAGCACATGTTCGAGGATTATATGTTGGTACCCAATATTCAGAAAAACAATATTCGATACCGAGTTTTAAACCATATTAACGACATATTACACTCTATGGGTGGTGACATAAATGAATATCAACTCATTCCTGAAACAATAAGGCCTTCTGTAGCGGCAAAAGAGGCAAAGGAGGTATATTTCGAAAGGACTATCGCGGTTACTAATGAGGATATACTATTACACAAAAAGTTGAATACAAATTAGCTTAAAGCATACAATATAATTATAGAGAGAATTTTTTCAAACAAAGCTGGGGCATTCTTCATTGACGGACCTGGAGGAACAGGGAAAACCTTTTTATATCGTGCATTGTTGGCAACTGTACGATCTAAAAGGTATATAGCATTGGCAACTTCCACTTCCGGCGTAGCTGCATCTATACTTCCTGGTGGACGAACTGCACATTCACGTTTTAAAATTCCTATAAATACTGATGAAAATGTGACCTGCAACATCAGCAAACAAAGCTCACTTGCCTGTTTGATTCAGGATGCAAAATTAATTATATGGGATGAAGTGTCTATGGCGAAAAAGAGAACGATCAAACTGCTTGATTTACTTTTAAAGGATTTAATGGATTCAACGATACTATTCAGTGGAAAATTTGTAGTTTTCGGAGGTGACTTCAGGCAGACATTGCCAGTAATTCGGAACGAAAAAAAGGAAGATTTCATTAACGAATGTTTACTATATTCTCATATTTGGGAAGAACTTGAAAGGCTGCGATTATTCGAAAATATTAGAGCGAAAGATGACCCTTCATTTTGTAATTATTTGTTGCGAATAGGAAACGGAGAAGAAAAAATAAACTCAACAAACAAGATTGAAATTCCAACTTCTTTGATCATTCCTTATACAACCGAAAAGGAATCTTTGGATAAATTATTCGCGATAACTTATCCAGACGTGCATACATTTTTTTCCTCCTCATCCTATACAAGTTCTCGTGTTATCTTAACAACTAAGAATGATTTCGTCGATGATATCAACGACATGCTTGTTGCTCGCTTCCCAGAAGAATCAAAAGCTTTTATTGGTATTGATGAAACTATCGAACCTCATGATCAATCACAATTTGAGGATCTGTTGCACAGTTTAAATCCACCTGGTCTGTCTCCTTACAAATTGACATTGAAACAAAACTGCCCAATTATATTATTACGAAATTTAAATCCGTGTGATGGTTTATGTAATGGAACACGTTTGACTTGCTGTGGTTTTAAATCGCATGTCATTAGCGCCAATATTTCAGTTGGTCACTTGAAAAATACACATGTGTTTGTCCCTAGGATACCATTATTAGCATCCCAAGATGAAAAATGCCTATTCCGTTTAAAAGGACACAATTTCCTGTAAGACTGCTTTGCAATGACTATAAATAAAGCGCAAGGTCAGACATTAGATTTTGTTGGAGTTTATTTGCGAGAACCTGTGTTTTCGCACGGTCAACTTTATGTGGCTTTGTCTAGAGCAAAGAGTTCGAACTGTGTGAAAGTGCTAATCCGACCCACTATACCAGGTAGGGAGGACGATCACTACACGGATAACATTGTCTACAAAGAAATCATCGAAAAAGCTACTTTATGAGGATATTGCGACAAGAACAGATAGTATCCTAGCAAAAAAAAAAAGAAAACAACTCACGAAGAATACTGATGATGTGCAATCCGGTCGGTAGCAATCAGCTTGTATTCGCTCAAGCGATGAAACGATAACTGATGCTCTTTTCGCACATGACTGCTCCAACAAAGATGAATCCATACGAGGCTGTGGCATTGGCTATGATGGTCGTGCAGAGGCATTTTCGCATGAAAATTTGGTACATACTGCTGGAGCTAAAGGGCAATACTTGGACAGTCGATGGCATCA